GGGTAACGAAGGACACTACAGCCGAATTAAAAGCAAAGGTCAACAAACTGATCGAAACTGTGAACGCCAAGAAATCCGGACTCCACCTGCCAAAGATCATTGGGGAATATAAACCTGGATATGCGTATGGAAATGTCAAGACGCACAAGCCTGGAAACCCACTTCGGCCAATCATTAGCCAGATACCCACACCCACGTACAGACTGGCGAAGCGACTCAACGGCCTGCTGACTCCTTATGTTCCTTGCGCCTTCAGCCTGAAGTCTCCAAAGGAATTTGTGGACTTACTGCGGGGCGCACGGGCCACAGGGATAAGAGCCTCGTTGGACGTAGAGTCGCTGTTTACCAACGTACCTGTGGACGAGACAATCGGAATGATAGCCGACAGAGTGTATCGTGATCCAGCCTGTACTCCTCTTGACATGCCAGAAAGTATTCTGAGGAAACTACTCCAAGCTTGTACTAAAGAGGCACCCTTCTTGAGCCCGGATGGGCACATGTATAAGCAAGTAGATAGGGTCGCCATGGGTTCTCCCCTAGGTGTCCTGTTTGCAAACTTCTACATGGGTACCATCGAGCAAAAAGTCTTAGTCGACATGAACTTGAAACCGGCCATATACTGCAGGTATGTTGACGACATTTTTACACAGGTACCTGATGTCAGACATCTGCAGGAGCTGAAGGAGGCATTTGAGCAGAGTTCCGTGCTGCATTTCACTTACGAGGCGGAAAAGGATGGGAAGCTGCCTTTTCTAGATGTAACAGTCATGGAAAAGGGCGGAGGTTTCCACACTGCAGTCTACACTAAGGAAACAAACATAGGAATGTGCCTAAATGCCAACAGCGACTGCCCTGACAGGTACAAGAGGAGTGTTGTTAACGCATACGTCGACCGTGCTCTCAGCCACAGCTCAGAATGGAAGCAAGTCGACGAAGAACTCTGTAGGGTAAGGCAGGTCCTAGTCAATAACGGCTTCTCCAATGGTTTCATCGAAGACATCATAAGAAGGAAAGTGAAAAGCCATGCAACCTCCGAAGAGACAACTAACACAACACCTATACCCCCTATTAGACTATTTTACAGGAACTTCTTTTCCACAGCTCATAAAACGGAGGAAAGGGTCCTGAAAGATATTGTTAATAGAAACGTTATCCCTACAGACAAAAATCAGAGGATACAACTGACGATTTACTATAAAACCAGAAAAACGGCCAGCCTACTCATGAGAAACTCTCCAGACACAAAACAGAACGCTTTAAAAGAGACTAATGTCGTCTATGCCTTCAAATGCCCACTTGGGGACTGTAAGCTCCAAAAAACCCAGTATATAGGCAAGACAACAACATCTCTTTCTAGGCGTTTAACGATGCATAAGCAACAGGGCTCCATTAAGGAACATATAATCTCTTCCCATAACCAAACCATCGCCAGAGAAATCCTAGTAAACAACACAGAAATCATCGATAGATACAGCGATAGCAGGCGGCTTGACGTTTGCGAGGCACTACACATCAAGAAGTCAACACCAGCAATCAACAGCCAATTATTGCACAACTATATTCTACCCACCTCAAGACTCCGCTCCAATATAGAAGCATCAAGAAATATGGACCAATAGGCTTTCTACAAACACTTCTATTCAATACCCATTGTTTCTGTTCTGTCTTGTGTTGATACTTTTAATACCCTATTAATATCCCCTATTGTTCTGTCTTGTGTTAATGCCACATCACCCTTCCCACCTCACTCAAATGTAGATATAAAATCAGAGAAACGCAAGTTCTAATCAGTTGTGTATTTGTGAAGTCTTTGAAAATGTAATAAGTTTTACGAAACGCGCCCGTGTCGCGTCAGACTAGAAATAAAAAATGAATTTTGGAGAAGTGATTTTTGATTTACCTCCAACAGTGAAGCGTAATGTACGAAAGATTGAGAAAATTCGTGTTAGAATTATTAATCTTACTTTTTCGGTCATATTTAATAATATATGTCTACAGGAAAGACTGCTACCAAAATATATATATATATATATATATATATATATATATATATATATATATATATATATATATATATATATATATATATATATATATATATATATATATATATATATATATATATATATATATATATATATATATATATATATATATATTTGCGGAAAAACCACAAAGAAATGGGGAAGAGAGATAAACGTTTCGGCCTGTTAAAGCCTTTGTCAACACCAGACTCAGAGACCTTTGAGTCTGGTGTTGACAAAGGCTTTAACAGGCCGAAACGTTCATCTCTCTTCCCCCATTTCTTTGTGGTTTTTCCCCATACAAATGATCAGTGTTTAGTGATCGTCAATTGCATGTGTGTGTGTGTGTGTGTGTGTATATATATATATATATATATATATATATATATATATATATATATATATATATATATATATATATATATATATATATATATATATATATATATATATATATATATATATATATATATATATATATATATATATATATATATATATATATATATATATATATATATACACACACATGATAGATACAGCGATAGCAGGCGGCTTGACGTTTGCGAGGCATTACACATCAAGAAGTCAACACCAGCAATCAACAGCCAATTAATGCACAACTATATTCTACCCACTTCAAGACTCCGCTCCAATATAGAAGCATCAAGAAATATGGACCAATAGGCTTTCTACAATCACTTCTATTCAATACCCATTGTTTCATGTTCTGGCTTGTGTTGATGAAATTAATACCTTATTAAATACCACCTCACCCCATCCACCTCATTCAAATGTGGATATAAACAAATCGGAGATGTGTAAGTTCTATTCAGTTGTGTATGTGTAAACTAAAGTCTTTGAAAATGTAATAAGTTTTACGAAACGTGCTCAAGTGTCGTGTCAGACTAGAAATAAAAATGAATTTTGGAGAATTGATTTTTGAATTACCTCCAACAGTGAAAAGAAATGTACGAAAGATTGAGAAAATTTTTGTTAGAATTATTAATCTTACTTTCTCGGTCATATTTAATAATATATGTCTACAGGAAAGACTGCTACCAAAATATATATATATATATATATATATATATATATATATATATATATATATATATATATATATATATATATATATATATATATATATATATATATATATATATATATATATATATATATATATATATATATATATATATATATATATATATATATATATATATATATATATAACTGAAAACTCACACCCCAGAAGTGACTCGAACCCATACTCCCAGAAGCAACGCAACTGGTATGTACAAGACGCCTTAATCCACTTGACCATCACGACCGGACATAATGAGGTGATAGCCGAGGCTATTTGAACCACCCCACCGCCGGCACTCGGATAGTAAATCTTGGGCATAGCATTTTACCAAATCACCTCATTCTTTGGGGCACACGTGAGGAACACAAATGCAAACAAGCCTGAATGGTCCCCAGGACAATATGCAACTGAAAACTCACACCCCAGAAGTGACTCGAACCCATACTCCCAGAAGCAACGCAACTGGTATGTACAAGACGCCTTAATCCACTTGACCATCACGACCGGACATAATGAGGTGATAGCCGAGGCTATTTGAACCACCCCACCGCCAGCACTCGGATAGTAATCTTGGGCATAGCATTTTACCAAATCACCTCATTCTTTGGGGCACACGTGAGGAACACAAATGCGAACAAGCCTGAATGGTCCCCAGGACAATATGCAACTGAAAACTCACACCCCAGAAGTGACTCGAACCCATACTCCCAGGAGCAACGCAACTGGTATGTACAAGACGCCTTAATCCACTTGACCATCACGACCGGACATAATGAGGTGATAGCCTAAGCTATTTGAACCACCCCACCGCCGGCACTCGGATAGTAATCTTGGGCATAGCATTTTACCAAATCACCTCATTCTTTGGGGCACACGTGAGGAACACAAATGCGAACAAGCCTGAATGGTCCCCAGGACAATATGCAACTGAATAGCCTCGGCTATCACCTCATTATGTCCGGTCGTGATGGTCAAGTGGATTAAGGCGTCTTGTACATACCAGTTGCGTTGCTTCTGGGAGTATGGGTTCGAGTCACTTCTGGGGTGTGAGTTATCAGTTGCATATTGTCCTGGGGACCATTCAGGCTTGTTCGCATATATATATATATATATATATATATATATATATATATATATATATATATATATATATATATATATATATATATATATATATATATATATATATATATATATATATATATAAAGAGATAAAAGACGACTGTGGTTGGATTAGAATAGTACCGCCTGTCTTCACATATAGTCGTCACACGAGTGACAGCTAAAAAAGGTGTATTGCAGCAGCAGAAGCTATAATATGCAAGCAAAGTTTTGTAAGTACATTTGCATATAGAGCGCTTTGGGAGCGTATTTGTCTGCTTTGTTGATAACCTGGAGAGGGTAGTTATTATCCTGTTTGTTAGCTTAGTTACGGTAGTTGTCTGCCTAGTTGATATCTCGGGAAGGGTAACTGCCTGTTTGATAACTAGGGAAGGGAAGTTATCTGATTGGTTCATATTTTGGTGAGGGTGGTTATCCAGTTGATATATTGTGGTGGGTAATTGTTGGTGTTGGTTATACCACAGGGAAGATTGTAGTTTGTCTGGTTGATAACTTTGGGGGTGTAGATATTTGTCTGGTTGGTAAATTGGGTTAAGTAGTTCTCCATCTGGTTGATGACTTGGGAAGAGTAGCTGCCTGTTTGGTTAATAAATAAAAAATAGTTTAAACTTCAAGAACTGCCTGGAATCTTAATGAAATAATATCGTAGAGTTATTCAATTTAGAGTACCAAAGAGAGAGTGAGAGAGTATAATTTCAGTAGATGCAGGGACTGGTGTGGGTGTCACTTTAACTAACACTGACCGTTGTCTCTGTCTGTGGCAGCGCGACAAGTGGTCCGTTGAGCGCCTCTCTGGGTATACCTTCCCTGACCTGAGGGAGATCACCCACCACCTCCTCATCTACCGCGTCTTCAACCTCACCTCCCTCAGGCGACTCTTCCCTAATCTCGCTGTCATCAGGTGAGTGTCAAGCTTCCTTGTTATTATCATAAGAATTGCTTCTTGCAGTTGACATCATCATGTAAGTCTTATTTTACTTGGTAATCATCAAGCAAGTCTTACTGTACTTGGTCATTGTTACTCACTCCCGGTGAAAAAAAAGCGGCTTATGCCTGACACAAGAATAACTGTTACCCAGGCCTATCACGTTTACTGTATTAAGGGTATGATCGCCAGACCCCTGTGATAAGGTGCTTACAGCTGCAGGCACCTCTATGTTTTTTAGGAAGGGACACAAAACACACTTACAAAAGTATTAACTTATAATAGTAACATTTATCATTATACACAATAATCTTCACTGGGCAACTATTTGGATCTACAGAATAATTATAATGCAGTGTAGGGCTAGTTATTAACTCTTGTCTCCACAGACGATTATCAACTACATACAGAGCAAAAGAAATACACTGAACTTAACCTAAACAAGTAGTTAGATGTGACCAACACCAACTCTCACCCGGGACTGACTCTCTCTAAACCCAACTGCTCAGACATCCACCTCACCTCACACACTCTCTCAGTTATCAAAGAAACTGATATAATTTCTAAACTAACACACTATATAAGAAAGTATCCACTTGCAAACAGACCCAATAACACTTACATAATAGTATATACATTCTACAATGGTAACTAAAAATATAAACATTCTTAAATGATATATGAATTCTATATGTTGAAACAACTGACAGCTCAACCAGTCGACGAGAGTAGCCGTCCCCTCACACTAGACTTTCGCTCCCAACACACGTTCAGTCCCAGACAAAGCCATGACTCTCTGACCCCCTCTCATATAACTGAAAGTCTTACTGTACTTGGACATCATCATGCAAGTCTTACTTTACTTTGTCATCATCATGTAAGTCTTACTGTACTTAGTCATCATCACGCAAGTCTTACTGCACTTGGCCATCATCACGCAAGTCTTACTGTACTTTGTCATCATCATGTAAGTTCTACTGTCGTTCGTCATCATCATGCAAGTCTTACTGTACTTGGTCATCATCATGCAAAATATTCCAGCTTTAAGCTGGGTGGGAAGGAGGCAGAGGTTGGGGTTCTGCAGCAAGTATGGTGGATCAACCCAGGCTCGGGGAGAGATATTTCCCGCCGAGAAGTACTCCGGATGTGAGGGCGCTGAGTTTCCCCGGATGTAAAGATGGTGATTGGTTGGGCGTTGGTGGGATTGACCATTGGGAGAGCGCTCTGCCGTCACGTCACGTGATGTAGGCGCTCGTGGAAGAAGCGCAGGCCTCATAATTATATAGCAATCTGTAGTTTTTTCCCTACAGTACATTAAACAATATAGCAGCCTTGGGAAGAAGTGGCTACTAAGACCTGCAACCCTGCTGAGAAGTTGGTGACCAGTTCACCAATTTTGGAGCAACGGGAGTCTGGGACTTCCATCCCAGGCTCGTGGGATTTCTTGTGTCGAGCTCGTCGGTGACGAGCTCGACACAAGAAAATTTTTGGGGGGATGAACGTGTGTACTAGATGAAGCAGAGGACACAGAGTGCGGTCCTCATGCGAATGGGTCTGAATGGTTAACTGAACATTCAGTGATGTAGTGTGAAAGATCATGCCCCAGTTCTTGCTCACAGAGTTTGCACCCGGAGTGCTCAGGATTGGGAGATCCGTTACTTGTAGCCACCTACCACAGGTAACAGTAACCCAACCTGATCCTGGCAACCACTGTGTCACACAGTCTGGTGAATGTTTTGTGCTGCCCATAAACATAGGTTTCAGATCTGAACAAATCATTGCTTTTAATACTGGTGTTTTCAGGTCGTTGGGAATCAGTAATTTCTCTTTTATCAGACCTGAGTGTTTGGAACAATATAGTTTTGACAGCAGAAATGGGGATACCTAGGTCTAATTCAACTTCGTCTTTGTTACACGCTAATTTGGCTCCTTTGTGTTAGGAGGTTATCTTATCTTGAGGTTATCTTGAGATGATTTCGGGGCTTTTTTTTTAGTGTCCCCGCGGCCCGGTCCTCGACCAGGCCTCCACCCCCATAAAGCAGCCCGTGCCAGCTGACTTACACCCAGGTACCTATTTTACTGCTAGGTAACAGGGGCATAGGGTGAAAGAAACTCTGCCCATTATTTCTCGCCGGCGCCTGGGATCGAACCCAGGACCACAGGATCACAAGTCCAGCGTGCTGTCCGCTCGGCCGACCGGCTCTCCCGACCAGGATGATTTAAGCAGTAAATTAATAACTAAGATTGTAATTGTAATGTCTTCTCACAGACATAATAACACAGGATAAAAATCCCCTCTTGTGTATTTATGAAATTTATGTAAGGAATTTACACCGAGTCTTTTGCACATATGTGACTGCCTCCACACATGTAATAAGTATAATGATCCTAGCCCTTGTGTTGGAAGTGAGCTGTGTTGTTTACCATACCGTTCATTTGATAAGTATAAGTATAGACGCCACACCTGTGACAGGTAAAACTATGCTTTTCTTGAAAAACAGCGCCATCTATTGCATGTAAGAGCAACACACATGCTATGCTAGATTTGTTACAAATTCCATTTCAATGTTTCTGATTGCACTGATAAATTGATTATTTATAGATTGATTTATTTTCATTTTGATTTAATTATCTTGTGTGAATTGCGTTTGAATTGAGCTGTGTTGTTTACCAGACCGGTCATTTTGTGGGTATGTTTTTTTTACATTTTTTCATATTTTCATTTCATTTTTTAACTGTTTTTCTTATAATTCAGTGATGGGAACATCAGGTCATTTGAAGTTCCCAATTTTCTGATGGGAACATCAGATCATTTGGGAATGCATTGGACTAGGGAGTGAGGAAGACGAGGGGATGGGAGTGGGGGATGTTGGGGATAACGAGAGGACAAGGGAGGTGGGAATGGTTGGGAGGACGAGGGACCAGGGGGAGTGGGAGATGGTGGGGAGGACCACGGGATGGTGGAGTTGGGAATGGGTAGGAGGACAAGGTGACAGTGGAGTGGGGGGATGGTGGGGAGGACAAAGGGATTGGGGAGGGGGTGAATGGTGGGGAGGACGAGGGGATTGGAGGGGGGAATGGTAAAGAGTACTAGGGGATGGGATATGTTGGGGAGGATGATGGGACGGTGGAGTGGGGAATGATTACGGGGACGAGAGGACGATTAAGAGGGAAAGGGTGGGGAGGACAAAGGGACGGGGAAGGGGGAAATGGTAGGGAGGACGAGGGGACGGGGGTTGAGAGGAATAATGGGGAGGACCGAGAGACATGGGAAGGTTGCCTTGGCTCAATAACGCACATGCGTTATTGAGCCACAGCAACGCATGGCGGGGTACATCTAGTACATAAATATATATATATATATATATATATATATATATATATATATATATATATATATATATATATATATATATGTCGTACCTAGTAGCCAGAATGCACTTCTGAGCCTACTATGCAAGGCCCAATTTGCCTAATAAGCCAAGTTTTCCTGAAATAATATATTTTCTAAATTTTTTTTCTTATTAAATGATAAAGCTACCCATTTCATTATGTATGAGGTCAATTTTGTTTTATTGGAGTTAAAATTAACGTAGATATATGACCGAACCTAACCAACCCTACCTAACCTTACCTAAGCTATCTTTAAACGTTAGGTTAGGTTAGATAGCCGAAAAACGTAGGTTAGGTTAGGTTAGGTAGGTTAGGTAGTCGAAAAACAATTAATTCATGAAAACTTGGCTTATTAGGCAAATCGGGCCTTGCATAGTAGGCAGAGAAGTGCGTTCTGGCTACTAGGTACGACATATATATATATATATATATATATATATATATATATATATATATATATATATATATATATATATATATATATATATATATATATATATATATATATATATATGTCGTACCTAGTAGCCAGAACGCACTTCTCTGCCTACTATGCAAGGCCCGATTTGCCTAATAAGCCAAGTTTTCATGAATTAATTGTTTTTCGACTACCTAACCTACCTAACCTAACCTAACCTAACTTTTTGGGCTACCTAACCTAACCTAACCTATAAAGATAGGTTAGGTTAGGTTAGGTAGGGTTGGTTAGGTTCGGTCATACATCTACGTTAATTTTAACTCCAATAATTTTTTTTTTACCTCATACGTAATGAAATGGGTAGCTTTATCATTTCATAAGAAAAAAATTAGAGAAAATATATTAATTCAGGAAAACTTGGCTTATTAGGCAAATCGGGACTTGCATAGTAGGCTGAGAAGTGCGTTCTGGCTACTAGGTACGACATATATATATATATATATATATATATATATATATATATATATATATATATATATATATATATATATATATATATATATATGTCGTACCTAGTAGCCAGAACGCACTTCTGAGCCTACTATGCAAGGCCCAATTTGCCTAATAAGCCAAGTTTTCATGAATTATTTGTTTTTCGACTACCTAACCTACCTAACCTAACCTAACCTTACTTTTTCGGCTACCTAACCTAACCTAACCTATAAATATAGGTTAGGTTAGGTTAGGTAGGGTTGGTTAGGTTCGGTCATATATCTACGTTAATTTTAACTCAAATAAAAAAAAATTGACCTCATACATAATGAAATGGGTAGCTTTATCATTTCATAAGAAAAAAAATAGAGAAAATATATTATTTCAGGAAAGCTTGGCTTATTAGGCACATCGGGCCTTGCATAGTAGGCCAAGAAGTGCGTTCTGGCTACTAGGTACGACATATATATATATATATATATATATATATATATATATATATATATATATATATATATATATATATATATATATATATGTTGTTAAATATGACCGAAAAAATAAGATTAATAATTCTAACACGAATTTTGTCAATATTTCTTATGTTTATTTTTACTGTCGATGGTAATTGAAAAATCAATTCTCCAAAATTCATTTTTATTTCTAATCTGAC